CCTACACTCACTCCCCAGAGAGTGCGGGAGGGGTTCTTGGTGCTCGACCGTGAGCCTGGCTGAGCGAGGCACTGGGAGCTGGGGTGAGCGGGGCCCACTCCTTGGCCTCAACAAGCTCAAATCTCCAGCGTTGTAGCAGAGCCTGATGTGACGAGTCCTCAGGGTGTTAGTTGTATGGAACGGTGCCGTGGGCTGGCACGGCTCCCCTCCCTCGGCTCCCCCGGAAATCTGTAAAAGCTGGCAGGGAGCTGGCACGCCTTCCGTCACATCTTATTAATAAGTTTAATTAACCCAAGGCAACTGTTACCAGTGCCGATTGCACACTGGGAGCATGAAGTGAAGTGTGTTGGCAAGTTCTCGGCTGCATGAGACTCTAGCAGCGTGCTGTGGGTGCCCCGCGTGGGGTTTTCCAGCTGGTGAAACACACCTGCCCCGTCCCCCTCGCTCCTCACGGGCTCGCTGACCTGCGGAGAAAACGCCACCCAACCCCTCCCCCCCACCACAAGAGGTGTCTCTGTGCCCTCCTTAAGAGTGTTTGCACAGGTCTGCTCTGAACGTCCATGCCCGCGGGCACGACCCAGGCCCTGCCAGTGCACACCTGGCCCAGTGCTTCCAGCCAGAATCCCAGGCAGGCGCAGTCCCGCCCTCCTGAGTCCGAAGAGTCCCTGCGAGTGAGGGTCAAGGTCCTCCTAGGCAAGGCTCTGCCTGTGTTTGTCCTGGCCGCTCAGCCTGGCTGTGTATATAAAAGACAGGAAAACAGGGCCCAGGCAATGCCTGAGTGCTGGCTACCTTTCCGTCTCAAATCGAACGATTTCCAATCGTCTTCTAGCAGACTTGACGTAGAAGTTTTGGAACCTGTGAATTCCATCTGGGCAGAGTCCTGGAGCCCACCAGGGGGCACGGGGCTCTACAGAGACAGCTGTGTGGGCAGGCCTGGGCCACTGACTTTGGGCATGGAGAGGGCCGTGTCCATGAATGGGAGTGAGCCCCGTATGGACAGAGGAGAGGTTGGCAGTGAAAAAGATGCGTGATGTGGAGGGGGACGGGCCTTGCCATTCTCTGAGGGGTCAGTCCAGCTATGAGTGCCGAGAAGGGAAGTGCCTGAGCCGGGTGCCCACCGCCCCATGCCAGCATGGTGACCATGGCCACCGCTACGTCATTGAAACCTTGGCTGGCAGCAGAGACTGGGTGCCCCTGTGGGCTCTGTTGGGATTCAGACCAACGTGAGAATGAGTCCAGACCTGGATATCAGCATAGAGAGGGAGGCTGGATCAGTTGACTTTTCATTTCAAGTATTGAAATCCTCAGCTCAGACTGGCTTAAATAAAGTGAATGAGCCCATGAAGAAAGAAATGAAGAAGGTATGTAGTGACTTATGTAACTCAAATGGCCTTGGATTGGTCGGGTCAACATCATGAGGACTTGATTTCTCTCTCTTACTGTTTTTCTTCCCATGCTGGCTTGCGTCTCAGGCTCTAGCATGAGCAGTATGCACTGAGTGCATATCCTCTCGGGTTCAAGTGCAGCAGAGAGGGGAGAAGGCCTCTGCGTGGCAGCTCCTCAAACAACTGAACACAGAGTCGCCGTAAGACCCACCGTCCACAGCTCGGTGTATATCGAGGACAACTGCGAGTGTGTGTCCGCACACCGGCTTGTCCCCAGATGTGCGTAGTGGCATTATTCCCAATAGCCGAAAGTAGAAACAACCCCAATACTCATCAACTGATGATGGGTAAATAAAAAGTGCTCTCTTCATACAATGGAATATCATTTGGCAATAAAGAGGAACAAGATATTTCTATCCACAGGGATACCATGGTGAGGGTGGGAGAGGGAATTGTCAGTCAATAACATTGTCCAGGAAGCAGCGGGCATCTGTCCCAGGTGGATGGCCCACTCTCCCCCTGATGTGTAAGAATCGAGGGCCCCTGACAGGGCAGGAGGTCTGAAGGCAAGCTGTGCACTGGGAGTGGGGATGTGGTAAGGGAGGCAGGACCCAGGGTCCAACCCAAGACCCCCCAAGGAGAAGGCAGCCCAGTGGGTTGTCACCAGTCTGTTGCACCGAGCAGAGGAAAATCTGGTGCCAAGAGCGGGAAGTGAGCCAAGGATGCTAGGCCTGGGCAGAAAGGTGCAGGTCAGAGGGCAGATCACCTGAGGGAAGCCTTGGAGTCATGTGATCCACCGGCCAGATGAGGGAGAGGGGGGTGCTGATAGAGAAGAGGGGTCTCCTTTGAATGATTTGTTTTACTCTGTAGGAGGCAAAGAGTAGAGGTGGTGCCCCTGTAGGAAGGGCTGGAGAAGTAAATGGAGTCCAGATGAAGAGAAGCTCATTCTGGTCAGAGTGATCGGGAATGGTTCAATGAGGGAGAAGATTGGAGCATGTTCTTGAAGGATCTGTAGACATTTGACAGTCAAAGAGGTGTAAAGGCTTTGAATGAAGCGGAGTGTTGGGAGTGCACTCTGGAAGGGGAGAGGGTGGAAGCCTTCACACCAGATGGGGAGAGGGTGGAAGCCTTCACACCAGATGGAGAGAGCGTGGAAGTCTTCACAACAGATGGGGAGAGCGTGGAAGTCTTCACACCAGATGGGGAGAGCGTGGAAGTCTTCACACCAGATGGGGAGAGCGTGGGAGTCTTCACACCAGATAGGGGGAGCGTGGGAGTCTTCACGCCAGATGGGGGGAGCGTGGGAGTCTTCGCGCCAGATGGGGAGAGCGTGGGAGTCTTCGCGCCAGATGGGGGGAGCGTGGGAGTCTTCGCGCCAGATGGGGAGAGCGTGGAAGTCTTCACACTCAAAGGGGACAGATGGGAAGTGAAACCTGAGAAGGGAGAGTGCGTGAGACGCCCAGGGCGCTGAGGATGGACTTTGGAGCTCCAAAGGCTGAGAAACGGAGCGTCGCTTTGAGTGAGCTGACTCCTGGAGTCCAGGCTGGAGGGGCAGGCCTGAGGTGCAGCTGACGGGGGCGGCCCGGGATCCCAGGGCCCACCAGCACTCGCTGTATGGTGGGGCGAGGGTCCTAAGATGGGGCTTGTGGCTCTTCTTGGGGGGAGGGGAACAGAGTGGTGGGAAGCCGGCTGTGGCCAGCACAGTGAGTGTGGACGGGGTTGGCTGTCTCCTCTTCCCTGGGCAGCAGCAGGACAGGCCTCCAGGTGCCAGGCACACTGCCAGCTCCCGCTGCAGAGGTGGCCTGGCTTGAGCAGGGGCCGGCCTCGGCTGGGGCCAGCCAGTTGCGGAAGGCCTTAGTCCCCTGGGGTGAAGGCTGTTGGGCACTGGCCTGGCGGGTCTGGAAGCCCGGAAGCCAGGCTGAGGCGGGCCTCCCACAGCCAGGGCACCTAGGGCAGGGGGGAAGCTCGTCCAGGCCACGTGGGTTGCTCACTTGTGGTTTGGGGGCAACATAGGTCCTTGGGAAGGACTGACAAGTCCGTCATTCATTCATTCATTCATTCATTCATTCATTCAATTCTTTTTGGTTTTTCATCCAGGTAGCAGATATTCATGGAGATGCTGTGTCAGAGACAGTGGAAAGCTGACCAGGGCCCCATGCAGCTCACACCCTGCAGAGGGAGACAGACAGGCCAACAGGACCTTCCATCCCAGAGTGGTAGCGGCAGCACCAGGGTGGGGAATGCAGGGAACTGAGAGAGAGAGAGAGGAGGGACATCTGTGCACCTCTGGTGTGGTCAGGGAGGGCTGCCTGGAGGAAGCAACGCCTAGGCGGAGACCTGGAAAGGAATGGGAATGAGTGGTGTGAACTGGGTGAGGGGGGGTGTCTGAGGTAGAGGGAAGAGGCAAGGATCTCAGGGAACACGGAGGAGCCCAGCTTCGAGCTGTGCCTGGAGGTCCTGGACCTCCCCCCCCCCCCCCCCGGGGGTGGACTTTTGATCCTCCTCCTCCCCGTGGTCACAGCTGCTGATAATCCCTCTCCTGGTGCCGATGGCCTTGGGCCCGGGGTGAGGCTGTGGCTGTGTGTGGGGGGGAGGGGGTAGCTCTGCTGTGGGGTCTGCGGTATCAGGGGCAGGGAACCCGGGGTCACTGACTCTGGGACTGAAGTCCTGGGTGTGTCTGGGAGGCTGCTTGGCCAGAGCATCTGGGCCTGTGGAGCCTGGAAGCTACCCGGCTCGTCTAGAAGGATGAAGGCAGCTGGAAACCCCAACAGAGTTAGCTGGGATTTGCATCTGAGAACCCAAAGATGATAAATGTCCTGCTGAATTCCGCGACTGGCCGGGCCGTGGGCGCCGGCCGGGGAGGGGCCCTCCCCATTGGCTGGTTGCTCCGCCTCAGGACCTTGCAGACGAGGGGCAAGGAGGTCCATGTCCCTCCTGACACCGGCCAGGGCTCCATTCTGCTGAGCGCCTTGGTCGACAGGCTGCAGGGCCCCGACCGTGCTGTGCGGGCCGTAGGTGCCCGGCCACCTGGCCTCCTGCCCGAGGCTCTGGCGGAGGATCTGATGACACGGATGCAGCAAAGGAGGCCCAGCAGGGCCCTCCCAACCCCCCAACGTGAAAGCCGGTCCCGGAGTGCCAGAAATGGACCCCAAATCCGTATTTCTCAGCGATCAGCTGCCTCGGGCCAGCGAGGCAGCGGTGTTCCAAGGAACGCGGGTCTTTTTCGGAGCAAGAGGGAGTGGTTTTTACATTGTCACCCTCTTCCGCGTCCCTCTGCAGCACCAGGCCTGCTGCGTGCCCGGCCGAGGGGAGGAGGTGTGACCATCTACACCAGCATCACGGCATTCGCGGAGCTGCCGGCAGAAGAGCGGTGGCCCGGGGATGCCTCTGAATCGTGCCGCTGAGGCTGACGCTGGGTCGGTTCGGAGGGTCCCACTCCCTGTCACCTGTGGGCGCACCCCTCTTCCTGGGTGTCTCTGCCGCCAGGCGTGAGGCTGGCCTTCAGCAACACGAGCTCTGATGTGCTGTCTTTCCGGGACGGCGTGGGCGAGTCCCCTCCACCCACTTGCTGGGTGCACAAGCCGGAAGACCAAGTGTCTGCGAGCAGAACGGGGAGGGCTGTGTCCCCAGAGGGGAGGCTGGGAGACAGTGTGCACGGAGGGGGCCAGCAGTGAGTCGTCTTGGACAGGTCAACAGCAGGAGGCAGGAGCTCTCCCTCCAGGCAGGGGTGAGTGGAGGCGGGAGGGCTGGTGGAAGAGACGTCAGCAGACCTTGGCTCCGGGCACTCCAGTATTTTTATTGAGAACTGTCAGCAGAAGCTCCTTCCAAAGGGTGTGGTCGGAGTTGGCAGCATCTGGCAGCTACCGCAGGGCTTTCCGGGCAAGAGGTTGGTGGAGGGAGGTCATGAGGTCCGAGAGGGATCGTCCCCCTCCCCAGTCGTCATCAGGCCAAGCCGGGAGGTCAGAGGATGTCTCGGTTCCCCGGGGAGCTGCATGCGGACGTGGTGTGCGGGCAGATCCCCTCCTGCCGCTGATCAGCTGGATGTGTGGCCCCGCGCAACTTGCGATTGGCTTTCCCTGTCGCAGGGTTGAGGAAGGTAAAGAAGAGCCATGATCCCTGCTCTTGAGGACCTACTGTGTTCCAAGCCCTCTGCGTGTCTCAGGTGATCGCCCCATCCTGGAGGTGGCCTCCGTCTCATTTCATGGAGGGCTCAGATGATGAGGCCAGGCAAGTTCATTAACGTGCTCAAGGCCGGGAGCCAGGAATCTGGACCGGGTCTGCGTGGCTTTAAGCCAGGGCTCTCTCTGTGGCACCGCATGGCTCTACTGTGTGTGGCCCTGTTCAGCTCGGCACCTCGGACGCAGCAGGTGCTCAGGAAACATCGGCATAAACCTCTCCTCCTTCCCTCCTTGAAGCCTCTCTTTCCTCCTCCCTCTGGGTGCACGCGGTTCCGCACACATTCACTGAGGCCTCATCTGTGCTCTCCTCTGCAGGGCAGCCCTGTTCCGGGAAGTGGCTCCTACCCTGCGGCTGCATTTCACAGCCCCCCCCCCTTCCTGGGGGTAGCTGACATGGTTGGAGATGGGGGTACAGGGAGGCGGGAATGGAAGCTATCGTGCAGTGGCCAGAACGTCAGTTGTACAAGGTGAGAATGTTCTTAAGGTCTGTTACACAACCACGTGCCTGTAGTTAATTCTACTGTCTGTAAGTGCAGTTACTATGGTAAATTTTATGCTGTGTATTTTTTTTTCACCATAGTAAGAACCAAACCCCAAAGCTGGATGTGTGATCTCTATCGAGAGGGCTCTCAGGGCGGAGGTGGGGGGCGGGAGGGCCGCAGGCTGGATGGAGCCCTGGGCCCCCCATGAGCCTGTGGAATGGCGCCCAGCCAGGAACACTGACGATGGATGTGTTCTGAGTGCCAAGAGGCCTCAGGTGTTGCTGTGTCAGGCCCCTGAGATTGTGGCTTGATCCTTGATGGTCACCGCAAAGGATCAAGGGGGCTTCAGAGATGAAGACCGGAGACCCCCTTCCCTCTGGGGTTCACAAGCGTCAGAGGGAATGTCAACCATGAGAGGCTGTGCCCCCAAGTGGGTGAGTACCTTCAGAGCCCAGGGAAGGATGTGGGGGTGCAGGAGGCGGTCTCATCCAGGACCGGAGAAGGACTCGTGGAGGAGGTAGCCAGGAAGAGGACATTTCAGAGCTGCTAAGGGGGAAGAGAGGCCTCTTGGGGAGGGAGCCCCAACTAGCAAAGCATGAGAGCTGAAGTCTAGGCAATGTGTTTGAGGACCCGGGGAGGCAGTGCAGGCAGGCCCCGCAGGACTGAAGAATGTGAGTTTGATTTTGTAGGCAGTGGGAGCCACAGAAGGTTACTGAGGGAGAGCATGCCGGATACACTGTGCTTCAGGCAGGCTTCTCCTGTTGCCGCGTAGAGGCTGCCAGGAGCAGGAGAGGGTAGATATGGGAGACCAGAGGGTGGTGGGGGACGGAGGGGAGGAGCCTAAGAGTGGAATCCCAGGTCCAGGAGACAGAAGAGGGGCAGTGGGGAGGGGAGGGAGCAGTGCAGATGGCATCTGTCCCCTCTTCCAGGCTGTGTGCTAGGAATGGGCGTGGCCCTTTCCATGAGGGCGGGAAGCCCAGAGAAGGGATCATAGGATGGCGGAGAAGCCAGTGCTAGGCTTTGTTGGTCCCAAGTAGGAGAATGTCCCTTCCCATTACCAGAGGCCGAGTCCTGAGCATCGGTGCCCGGGGCTCTGCCCTTCTCTTTGGCGAGGCCTGGGGGCCTGTCACCCGCGTGCTGGCCGCCGGAGCCCCGCACGCCTGCTGCCTGGTGGGTGCCCAGTGGAGGCTCCCGGAGCTGGTGACGGTTTGTGGCTGCAGTGACTGCAGAGTCTGAACACGTACAGCCACGAGGTGAAGAAAATGATGCCGCGAACATGCCCTCAGGGAGCGTCCATGGGGTGTTTACTGCCTTGAAAAAAAATCCACAGAATGTGCCAGGCTTTGCAGCATTTACAAGAAATCTACCTTGCAAATAAGTTTCCAAAATAACCTCTGCCACAGCCCTGCACGGTGCTCGCCATCTGCGGGGATGGGGTGTGGATGTGTGTGCGCAGCCTGAGCTCCAAGCCCGTCACTGGGGGAAGGGCCGAGGCATGGTGTGGACGAAGGTCTCCTGGTCACCTGTGAGAGATGGCATCTCACGGCCCGTGGCACCAGGGGCAGAGGACGCCAGGGAAGACGGAAGCCTCTAGGGGCTGGGGGAAATGGCCTGTGCACGGGGTTCACGAGGACCTTAGGGCTCCCGCAGGCAGAGTGAGCCCGCAGAGGCTGACCCCGTCCCTGCCGGGGTTCTGGTGCAGTCACCTAGCCCCCCTGCCCAGGACTTCTTGACTTCCTTTCTCGTTTCCCACTGACCACGCCCCATGGCCCGAGCTGTAGGGTCGGAAGCGGAGCCTGTCTGTCCTTTGCAGGGAGAAGAAGGGTCCTGAGTGTCCGCAGCACAAGGAAGGAAGGACGATGAGTCCCCGGACGCTGAACAACCCTTCAGACCACACGAACTGCCTCAAACTGAGCCGGGCGCCTTCCCCAGACCCGTGCCCTTGGACTGGACTAAGCTGCCGTTGCCCCGGCTCCTCCATCGTCCCCACACCCACATCGCATCAGGGTGCTGACGCCACCCCGGAAGGGTCCTCCATCCCATCCGCACCCGCCCCCCCCCGCCCCAGCTCCCCGCTGGGCTGTGCCAATCTCTGGACTTGTCAGCCGGGTCGGTCTGTCCTTCCTCCACACGGTCCCCAGGGCGATGCTCCTGAGACCCATCTGCACGCCCGGCTGTCTCACTGATGCCTACATAACTTCACTGACCCCTTCCATCCACAAGATGAATCTCCATGTTCAGGGGGAGGGGGTCTGGATGTCCCGTTCCCATGTCATTCACAGAACTTTGCATCTTTGTGGTCCCCCAGGCCCGCGTGCAACTCCGTGTATTTTCATGCATTGCTCTTCCGGGTGGAAGGCCTCCGCCTCTCCCCCGCCAACCAGACCTGGCGATGGGTGGGGTAGCAGACCCAGAGTTGACGGCATATTGGCAGGTGAGTGACCCACGGCTCGCCCTTTGGTGAAGGGGCTGGTGGGTGTGTATGTGTGCGTGGTGTGCACGCCTTTGCACTTCCGGCCCACTGCAGGCTGCAGCCCGTGGCAAGTGCGCCGCATCCAACCAATCCTGCCAGCTGGGCCCCCGCCCCGCTCTGCCCATTGCAGCAAGACATCTAGTCACACTGGCCAGCGCCACCCAGCATGAGCCCTTGAGAAATGCGTTCATAAGCCCAGCATCATGGACCTGCCAGGCCGGCCAGGTGCGGAACCTGAGCAACGGCACTTTGCACAGGCTGGCCCTCAGGTGGGCACAGCGCCAGTCACTTCTCCGGGAGCAGCTGGGCCAGTCTTCTGCGGTATGATAACCGGGGCTTCTGGGAGGAAGCATCTGTGAAGGCTTCAGCCGGGGAACTGTCTTTGCTGGCCACTGTCGCTCCGTGGGCACAGAAAAGGCCACGGCCAGCCTCCTGGGGCTGGTGTACAGCCACCTCGCTGCTCCTCTGGCTAGAGTCCTCCATGCCTGGCACCTGTCCTCACCCATTCTCGCTGCAGCTCAGAGAGGTGGATGGTCCCACCCCGTGAAAGATCGGGACACTGAGGATTAGCAAGGGGACTCACAGGGGCTCGTGGCCGGAACTAAACTTGGGTATCTGACTCTCAAACTTTGTCCCCTTCTGTTACACTTTCTGTTCCTGGGGACTCACCGCCGCCTGTCTCTCTTGGCTCCTCCCCAGCTGCTCCTCTGAGGCCCTTATGTCATGTGGGCAGCCAACAGCTGCTAGAGGCTTCCTCTGTGCCGGAATGGGGTAGACTACAGAAGTGGCCACGGATGCTTCCCCTCCCCCATTCACACCTCCTTGACCTGTTACTTTGGGAGCCCTCTCATCCTGCCTCTGAGCATGGCCTCATGACTTGTTTGGCTGATGGGATGTCAGCAAACGTGTGTAAGTAGAGGCTTGAGAAGCACGCCCCGTGGGACTGGTCCTTTCTTGCTGCTCTTGGAACTCTGCTCCCTTGTGAAGAAGCCCGGGCCAGCCTTCTGGAAAACCAGAGGCCCGTGGCCCAATTGCATCTGTTCCTCATTTGACAGCCTGCCAACTGCCAGACATATACGTGTGGCAACCTGGACCATCCAGCCAGCGGCTGCCCACCAGCTGACCACAGGCACGAGAGAGAGCCTGGGAGAGATCAGTGGAATCAGCTTAAACACGAGAACTGCCCAGCTGACCCACAAAATCATGCGCTAAATAGACACGTGTTGTTTTAACCACCACATTACAGGGTGGTTTGTTACGCAGCAAAAGCTAACTGATAGAAGATATTGCATTTCATTTATTATTGAATCACTTCACACAACCATTTCATCGTGCTCATGGGTATGAGTCAGAGATTTGGAAAGGGTACAGGGAGAATGACACGTCCTGGCTCCATGCTGTCAGGAGCCTCAGCTGGGAGGACTCCAGGGCTGATGACTTGGGGTACTGACAACTGGGGACGGGAAGAATCTGGAGGTGTCTTTGCTCACTTCCGGTGGCTGAGATTGTCAGCTGGTACCGCAGCAGGAGAGCTGCTTGTGGGAGCAGCGACACGTGGGTTTTCCATGTGGCCTGAGTTTCCCAAAGTCACGGCGGTTTCCGCGTAGCTAGACTTTAATGGAGGCCCAGAGCTCTAAAGGCAAGTCCACCTGCTAATAAGGGGGAAGCTCCCTGATGTTTACAACCGTGTCTTGAAGTCACACGGCATCACTTCTGCTGCCTTCTCTTGGACACAGGCCGGTCATCAGTTCTCCGCCCCCCTCTGCCTCCTCTGATTCAGGGGAAGGGAATTCAGCTACTCCTTGATTGGGGAGCAGCACTCAGGGTGGGAAATATATTGCAGTCAGTTTCGGAAGGTATAGTCCATCACCCATTATCTCACCCAATTCCTGCAGTAACCCGGTGAGAAAGGGAGGTATCATTGTTACACCCACTTCTCATGAGACGCGGGGGCTCAGGTGGAGGGTGATGTGCTCAGGGCACACGGTCAGTAATTGTTGGAGCTGAGACTAACCCTCGCCCTCACCACCTTTCCTGGGCTGCCCGCTGGTCCTTGGATCTAGTATCTCAGTGTCCCTTTTCCCTCCACCCTTTGAGCTTCATGCTCAACCTCTTTGTCTCTACCTCTTACAAGCAGCTGCATTTCTCAGGGTCTCTCTTGACCGTGTTGGGGGGTCCCCGTGGGTTCCCTGATCCCACCCCTAGAGGTCAGCGGTGTGGTTGTGCGGGGAGCGGGGACGGGGTGGGGAGAAACTCTAATAAACATGCTTGACTGATCACCACCCTCCCTCCTTCCGCAAAATAGATACAGTCTGAAGGTCCCTAGGAGGCAACTTGAGTTTAAATCCTAAGAGGATGGAAACATGGGTTATGTCTCTGGATTTTGGAAGATTTATCTTTTGTGCTACAGAAATGACCACTACTGAGTATTTGGAGTCCTGTTTCCTACCCAAGGCCCTCCCACCAGCCCACGTAAAACTCTAGCTTTGCTTACTGACATGGGGTGCCTGGGTGGCTCTGTTGGTTAAGCTTACTGACATTCCCCCCTCTTCTTTTTTTTAACGTTTATTTTTTTGAGAAAGACAGAGTGTGAGTGGGGGAGGGGCAGAGAGAGAGAGGGACAGAGGACCCAAATCAGGCTCCATGCTGATAGCAACGAACCAGATGCGGGACTCGAAGTCACGGACTGTGAGATCACAACCTGAGCTGAAGTCAAATGCTCAACCAACTGAACCATCCAGGTACATCTGAAATTCAAATTGAACTGGGTGTCCTGTATTTTATCCCACAACCCTATTCCATTCTACTGTTAAATGGACATTTTGTAGTTTTCTCTTTGGGGCTCTAAGGAGCAAAGCTGCTACGAATATTCTAATATGTGTCTTTCGGTGAACATGTGGACCTATTTCCTTTGGGTATTTACCTAGAAGTGGAATATCTGGGTCATAGGGAATGAGCCTGTTCAGTTCAGTGTATGCTGTCAAAAGGCATTCCATGTGGTACCATTTTACTCTCTACTCAGCCATGCAAAAGTTCCAGTTGTTCTGTATCCTCACCAATACTTGGAATTTTCTGCCTTTTTCTTTGCAGTCATTCTAGTGGGTGTGTTCTGTTTTAGATTTACTGTGGTTTTAATTTGTATATCCCTGAAGATCACAAAGCCGGGCACCTTCTCTCATGCCTCGTACCCATTTGGGCCTCCTCCTTTGTGAATTGCCTGTTCTAGCATGTTGCCCTTTGTACTGTTGAGATGCCTGCCTTTTTCTTATTGCTCTGTAAGTGTTTCTTATATAGTTGGCATACAAGTTATTTTTCAGATGTATGTCAACTATCTTCTCCTGGGGAGTTTTGGGGGACAGTTGAGAGAGGATTTCTGGCTGGTTGTGGGTCATGCGGTTGAGTTGGAGGAATTGAGAAAGAAGACGAGTTTCACAAGAATTGCCATGGATAGTGGCTCTTCTCCAATGGCCTTTCAAGGGCATACATGGAGAAGAGACTGTTTCTTTGAATGCCTCACTCAATTTGAGACTGGACCACATGGGGCCCTGAGCAATATTCAGATCTTGACATAAGGGCACAGGTTGATTTCCATTGTATTGAGTTTATAGTGTGTCTTGGGAAATTTAATCTAAGAAGGTTGGAAGCACTTACAAGAAATTCATATATGTCCCAGCCTGAACTCTCTGCCTGTTTCTACACCCTGAGGGGAGAGATCATCCCTAAGAGAATGAGGATCCTTATATGTCATAGAGGGAGAAACCCTCCTCCAGAAGGCACACTTGAGAAGAATAAAATGTGTAGTATTTGAACACCAGTGGCATCTGAAAGGTGGACTTAATTCATAAATCAAGGCTGCAGAGCAGATGATATTTATGGCAATTCTTGCTAGAGGAAATATTAAAATTTGTAAGAGTTGTAAATGCTGTAACACAAAATGCTATAGTCACTGGTCATAATTGATGACTTCCTCTTGAATGTATTGAATAAATTAATTTCATTGCTATACAGATGACATTAATATGCTCTTATAATTAATTTAGTTCTGAGAGCTGTTGTGGGTGCCAAGATTTCATTGGAAGGAGAAAATGGCCCCGGGAAAAAGGTGACACATGAAAAATAATTTTGAAATCAAATAAAGAATAACACTCTAATAAGAAACAGCAGGCTCAGCGGGACCCTGTCGTAAAAGAGAGCACACCCGGGAGTTGTCGGGAGGCGGATATTAAGGTCAGGACTGTGGGAGTGTCTCCAGTGTCCAGCGTTGCTGAGTTTTCATTGGGATTTCTCACGTCCTGAGGCGGTGCTTTAAGAATGGCATATGTGGAAGCCTCCTCCTTTGGTGAGCATCAGGGAGTGATCTTGAAACTGAGCCTTCTGCCTGCAATCCTGGTCCCAGAAGCAGGATTCCAAGGGCTTCCAGGAAGGGGCATCCAATGATCGAGCATGCCGATTTCTCTACAACTAAACAACCAAAAAATAACAGTTACGAGCCCTTTCGTTTTGCCAGGCACAGTGCTAAAATTGTTTACGTTCATTGTGTCAACAGGATTGTTTCTTTCCTCCTTCTTTCTTTTTTAAGAGAGAGAGAGAGAGCATGAGCAGGGGAGAGGAGCAAAGAGAGAGAGAGAGAGAGAGAGAGAGAGAGAGAGAGAGAGGGACAATCCTAAGCAGGCTCCACACTTAGTGTGGAACCCAACTCAGGGCTTGATCCCACAGCCCTAAGATCATGACCTCAACTAAAATCAAGAGTTAGACACTCAATCAACTGAGCCACCCAGATCCCCCCCCCCCCCCCCCGTTTCACTCCATCCCTAGTGCTCCATTCAGGGGACTTTGAAACCTGTAGCCCCTAGACTGGTGGGTGGTGGGCGTGGACACTTTCCCCCAAAGTTTCCCTCTTCCTTAAAAGGACCCCCAAAACATGGGGGAGGTGGTTTGTTTGGAGAGAATCTTTTATACTCCGCCCCCTCCCCTTACTTAAGTGCTTGAATAAAGTACAGGACTTAGATACGGCCCGATTGAAACAGTCATATTTCCCGAAAAATCTCCTAAAGCATGGTCAGTTCAGATGCAACTGTGAGAGAGAGAAATGATCTTTCTCTGACTCTGAATGGCATGAGTTTAGGGCTCTGTGTGCCCACAGCAAATGCTCAGGAGACAATGTCGAACAATGGCAAGATTAATTGGAAAAAAACATCCCCAAACACAGTTTCCCCCGCTTTACGTTTCATCCATGCTGCCAACCCTGACGAAGTACCAGCTGCATGCCAGGCCCTGGGAGGGAGCTGGCGGGGGCTGCGTGGAGTGTGTGTGTGTTCTGGTGTGTGTGTGCGGTGCGGTATGGTGTGTGAGTACCTGTGCGTGCGTGTGGTGATGTGTGAGTGTGGGCCGTGGATGCGTGTGTATGACCCCGTATGCAAGTGTGTAAGACTTGTGTATTGTGTGTATGTGTAGGTGATGGTATATGTGTGATACATGTATGTTTCCATGTGCATGAACACGTGTGCTCTGCATGAGATTGTGACTATATATGAATGTGTATGCACGTGAAGGGGTTGTGTCTATGTGACTGCTTGGGTGCACGCGCGCGCGCGCGTGTGTGTGTGTGCGCCTGTGGAGGGAGAGGAGGGCACGCAGAGTGAACAGGACACTGTCCTGTCCCCAGAGCCTGTAGCCTTGCCAGGGAGAGATTACAAGCCCCGCACGCAGCATCCTTTTCCCTGACCATCTAAACCCCCCTTGACCTCCCTCTCCCCTTCTCTGCTTCCTTCAACTCCTGCCCCCCATCCCAGGATTGCTGGGTTCCTCACAGGGGCTCCCAGCTCTCCATCCACAGCGGTTTTGCTTTGCTGGGCCCTTTGTCCAGAATACCTTCTCTTCCATTTCATACATCTCAGCGCTGCCCGTCTGGGGTGAGTGGGAGGCAACAGTCCCGAAATCGTCACAGGCTCCATGTTTTCTACCCCCTGTCACTTCACAGCGACTTTGAAATGATTGCACCGGGTAGGCAGCCAGGTTGCTGTGAGTGTGGGGTGTTGTGTGGACATTATTCAGGACAAGCCTGTCGTGTGCCCGTGTCTAACATGATAGAGAAGTATGTTTTCTGAAATTGTAAATCAGGTGGTGAAGGAAAAATGAATCTAGAGAAGAGATAAAAATCATCTGTTGGGTGGGGGTCCAGAGTATGGAAGATGGGTGGGGACACCCCACAGGCAGGTGGGACCCCACACCT